AGAAATAGCAGAAAAATCCTGACAACATGAAATAGCAGACCACAGCAACACCCACAAGGGACCATAGGTAGCTACTACAGAGGATTCCACCTATAAAGACTGTTAGAAATGACAGAAAGGGAATTTAAAATATGGAAAATAAAAACAATGAAGGAAATTGCTGAAGAAGTGGAAAATAACCAAAAGGAAATCCAAAAATAGAATCAAATAAGAGATGAATGATATGAAGACTATAGAAAGGAGATAGCACAGCTAAAGGAATTGAAGCAGTCAACTAGGGGACTTAAAGTTGCAGTAGAAAGTATCAATAACAGATTAGACCATGCAGACAAAAGAAGGAGAGGACAAAGCTCTTGAGTTAAGTCAGATAGATAAAGAGTCAGAACAAAAGAGAAAGAAAGCAGAATGTTTACTGATAGAATTATGGGACTTCATGAAGGGTTCAAACATATGAGTTATAAGTGCCCAAGAAGGGCAAGAAGAATGCTACAGAGGATACTACAGAATATTATACATAAAAATTTCACAAATATTACCAAAGATTCTGACACATTCCTTTCAGAGGGATATCGGGCCCAGGTCATCTCAACTCAAACTAGAGCTCCTCCAAGACACATTGTCATGAACCTGTTCAAAGTCAAGATAAAAGAAAAGATTTTGCAAACTGCAAGGAATAAGTACCTACTTGGGCAAATCCATCAGGGTGACTGCAGACTTTTCAAATGAAATTTTTCAGGCCAAAAGACAATGGTCATCTACCTTTAATCTACTTAAACAAAATAATTTTCAGCTTAGAATTCTATATCCTTTTAAGATAAGCTTTAAAATTGATGGAGAAACCAACTTTTTGCTAATATGCAAACATTGAGAAAGTTTGCCACAACAAGACCAGCTATACAGAAAATACTTAGACCTATTCTACACACTGACCATCACAATGGTCCACCAGTATAGCAAGCATGTAGTAACTAAAGGATTAAACCTAGCTTCCACAATGACACAAGAGATAAAACTAAACAATGGATTTTCACAATATAAGATGAATAGAATGCCATCACACTTACCAATTATCTCAATAAATGTTAGTGGCTTGAATGTCCCACTAAACAAGCATGGACTAACTGATTGGATAAAAAAAACACAAGCCATCCATGTGCTGTCTGCAGGAAATACACCTAGCCACAAAGGGCAAATTAAAACTCAGAGTTAAGGAATGGAATACAATTTTTCAGGCAAACAAAATTCAGAAGAAGAGAGGGGATGCAAATCAAGGACACAATTCCCTTCACAGCACCTTCAAAGATAATGAACTATCAGGAGATAAACCTAACAAGAGAGGTGAAGGACCTCTATAAAGAAAATTATGAAGCCCTAAGAATAGAAATAGCAGAAGAAAAGTATACCAGAAGATATTAACAAATGGAAGAACATACCATGTTCATGGGTAGGAGGAATCAACATTGTTAAAATGTCTATACTTCCCCGAGCAATCTGCAGATTGAAGACTATCCCTATTAAAATACCAATGTCATACTTATAAGACTTGGAAAAAAAAATCTTCACTTTGTATGGAACCAGAAAAAAGCCTCATATAGCTAAGGCAGTTCTTAATAATGTAAACAAACCTGGGAAATCAGCCTACCAGAATTTAGGCTGTACTACAAGGCCATAGTGATTAAAACACCAAGGTATTGGCACAAAAATACAGACATAGACATCTGGCACCAAATAGAAAACCAGGAGATGAAACTAACATTTTACAGCCACCTGATCTTTGATAAACCAAACAAAAACATACACTGGGAGAAAGAATCCCTATTCAATAAATGGTGCTGGGAGAACTGGATATCTACATGTAAAAGACTGAAATTTGACCCACGCCTTTCTCCACTCAAAAAAATGGATTCAAGATGTATAAAAGGCCTAAGTTTAAGGCATGAAACAATAAAAATCCTCAAAGAAAACATGGGAAAAACACTTGAAGATATCAGCCTGGGGAAAGACTTGATAAAGAAGACTTCAGTGGCAATTTCAACAATAACAAAAATAAACAAATGGGACTTAATTAACCTGAAAAACTTCTGTACAGCAAAGGAGACAACAACCAAAGCAAACAGACAACATATACAAATAGGAAAGATAGTTACATATTATGAATTGGACAAAAGCTTGATAACTAGGATCTACAGAGAACCCAAATTAAGCAACATGAAAATAGCCAACAATCCCTTATTTCAATGAGCAAGGGAGATGATTAGAATCTTCTCCAAAAAAGATAGGCAAATGGCTAACAAACAGATGAAATAATGCTTATGATACCTAATAATCAGAGAAATGCAAATCAAAACCACCCTGAAATAGCATCTAACCTCAGCGTGAATGGCCCACATCAAAAAAATCTCAAAGGTACAGATGCTGGTATATACGGATGTGGAGAGAAGAGAACACTTTTTCACTGCTGGTGGGACTGAAAACTAATACAACCTTTTGGGAAGGAAGAATGGAGAATCCTTAAAGAACTCAAACTAGACCTCCCATTTGATCTTGCAATCCCAATATTGGGCATCTACCCAGAAGGAAAAAAATCCTTTTACCATAAGGACACTTGTAGTAGATGGTTTATCGCAGCTCAATTTACAATCACCAAAATGTGGAAATAGCCTAAATGCCCACCAATCCAGGAATAGATTAACAAGCTATAGTATATGTATATCATGGGATACTATTCCGCCATTTAAAAAGGAGATTTTTACATCTTTTGTATTAACCTGGATGGAAGTGGAACACATTATTCTTAGTAAAGCATCACAAGAATGGAGAAGCAAGAATCCTAAGTACTCAATTCTAATATGAGGACAATTAATGATGTAGTACATGGTGGGGGGTGGGGGAAATGGAGAGTAGAGAGAGGAAAGGAGGGAGGGTGGTGGGGGTTAATGTATGTGATTTACCTTTTGGGGATGGGACACAATGATAAGAGGAATGTTACCTAAGAATTAAAATCAATGTAACCTGGTTCTTTGTACCCTCAATAAATCCTCAACAATAAAAACAAAACAAAACAAAATACAAAAAATCCCTTATTAATGCTACAAACTATCATTAGCCTCTTTTTAGTAAGTTTACCAAGAAAAGAATAGAAATAATGGTATCATCAAACTTTGAATGGCCAGACTCAAAAAAGAGATGGATAAGGGAAAAAATTAGGGTGAAATGTCATCATTAGATATTTAAACTTCTTATGAACCTATATTAATTAAGATAGCAAGTTACTGGAGGAGTAGTTGAAAAATTATCTTCCATTAGTGCATATAGAGTATTTAGAATAATGGCCATTATATATATATTCATATATATATAGGTGTACATAAACATATATATATGCATATACACACACATATATATACATATATATCTTTTATTGTGCTTTTCTTGTTATTGACACAAAAATACAGACATAGACATCTGGTACTGAATAGAAAGCCTTTTATTGTGCCTTTCTCGAACAATATTCGAGAAAGTTTCCTGAGCCCTATTAAAAAAAGAAATATAGTTATAATCATGAATTAAATGAACATAAAATGAATTTAAAATATAGAACAGGAAAGTACAGTAGATTTTTACAACAAAATATAGTACAACATCCATAATCTTTTAAGAATGAACTCTTACTTTCAATGGAAACAATAAGTAATTGCGAAAAATGATTGATGAATTTTAGTAAAATGAGCAATTTATATTCAAAATAAGTATTAAAGAAAATAATCCTAGTCCCATAAAGAAATGCACTTGTGGCAAATCTAATTGAAAGAATTGATATTCACAATTACTAAGATTCCAGCAAATAAGAACCAAAATCTCCTGCATTCTATGGATTATAATAATTAAATACTAATTAAACCATAAATATACATGCTAATCCCAATTACCTATAAAAATGTAAATTAACAGTACAATGCCATAATACTGTAT